GTTACAAATAGAAATCTAGGCGATCCTGAATAAAATATACAGAAACTGCTTCCTGTTAGGTCATGCTGCCTACCCACTACATAGTATTTTCATTCTACTTTGCTATAGCCTCCCCTGAACCTCTAATCCTGTTTACTAGAGACATCTGTCTTTAGTAAACAATCCCTGAGAGAGAGGCACTGTTCATTCTCGGAGACTTTAACGCTAGAGTTGGTGTTGATCACAATTCCTGGCCCACTTGTCTAGGCCGTTTTGGCATCAGAAAGATGAACGAAAATGGCCAACGCTTGCTGGAGTTGTGCTGTTATTATGGTCTTTGTGTCAGCAACACATTCTTTAACATGAAGCTTCAACACAGGGTTTCTTGGAAGCATCCAGGATCCAAGCACTGGCATCAGCTCGATTTGATCCTCACTCACACACAGTTACCATTATTGCAATACTGATCACTCTCTGGTGTGTAGTAGAGTTATTGCGATACTGATCACTCCCTGTTGTGTAGTAGAGTAAAACTGCAAACAGAGAGATTGTATCACACGAAAAGGAAAGGAAGACCATGTATTGACATCGGAAAGGAAAACCATGTATTGACATCAGCAAGACTCATGATCAAAGAAAAGTGGAGGAATTTGTCCAAGGGCTTGAGGAAACCCTTCCGCGACCAGCTGATGCAAATGCACCTGAACAATGGGAACATTTCAAGAACGCTGTGTACAACACTGCCTTGTCCACATTTGGCAAGAAGACCAAAATATGGCTGACTGGTTCAAAGCCCATTCAGAGGAGTTTATGTCAGCCATCGAGGATAAGAGGAGAGCTCTAGCAGCATACAAAGCCTGTCCTATCGTGTCCAACTTTCAAATTCTTCGAGCTGCTTGTAGCCAAGTCCAATGATTATTGGCTTCAGCTCTGCTCTCAGATACAGTTAGCAGCACAGGTAACATCAAGGGAATGTATGACGGTATCAAGCAGGCTTTAGGTCCAACACAGAAGAAATCTGCTCCCTTGAAGTCTGCTACAGGCGTGATCATCCAGGACCAAGCACAGCAGATGGACCGCTGGGTGCAGCACTACTCTGAGCTATATATGTAGTAACCGAAGAAGCATTAAATAACATTGCCTGCCTGTCTTGGAAGAGTTGGACAGCAAACCAGCCTTAGCAGAAATAAAAGTGGCCTTGGATTCCCTCGCCTCTGACACGGCACCTGGAAAGGATAACATCCCTGTTGAACTGCTGAAGTGCTGTAAATAGAGCTCATCACCACCGAAGTGTATGAAGTCTTTCGTCTTTGCTAGAGGGAAGGCGGAGTACCACAGGACATGAAGGATGCAAACATTGTCACACTGTACAAGAACAAGGGAGACAGGGGCAACTGTAATAACTACTTGGCATCTCTCTTAGTTTTGTAGGGAAGCTGCTTGCCCGTGTTGTGCTGAAGAGGCTCCAGGTGCTTGCAGACAGAGTCTATCCAGAATCACAGTGTGGATTATGAGCTAATAGATCCACCACTGACATGGTATTCTCCCTCAGACAGTTGCAGTAAAAATGCAGGGAACAACAGCCGCTCTTTGTGGCCTTCATAGATCTCACAAAGGCCTTTGATTAGGTTAGCAGGGATGGTCTTTTTAAAATACTTCCCAAGATTGGATGTCCACCTCAA